AAGGAATACAAAAGGGAATCATTGTGAGGGATGAGCTGATGGAAGAAGTAAAAGGACAGTTAATATGTTGAGGTGGGATAGGCTTCCCTGAAGAGAGTTTTCAAGAAACGCCTAGGTGGTCAGAGTAGGAGAGCGAACAGATTGGGGTGAGGAGTTCCAGAATATGGGAGAGGCTCTGGTGGAGTCTTGGAGGTGACGAGAGCTGAAGAGCAGGAGGTCTTGAGAGGAGCAGAGAGGACGGTTTGGGTGAAATTCTGAGATGAGGTTGGTGATGTAGCTAGGGGCCGAGTTGTAGATGGCTTTGCATGTAGTTAGTATTCTGAATTTTATTCGTTGAGCAATTGGGAGCCAGTGGAGAGATTGGCAGTGAGGGGCGGCAGACACTGAATGGTTGGTAAGGTGGATGAATCTGGCAGCAGCATTCATGATAGTTTGAAGAGGGGGTAGCCTGTTTAGTGGTAGTTACTTATCCATGCAGGGTCTCACTGGAGGGACAGAGACAGGGGAGGGAGCGGACACAGCTGGCTCTAGAGAGGCAGAGCCAGCTGTCAATCAGGCAGCGAGGTGGATCTTAACAATTATGTCAGGATCCTTGCAGGATGTAGCACGACTCTGTGCATTAGCCAGCTATCTGCTGACATTGGCTCACAGAAATGCATCAGTAAACCTACTCCTGGTTTGGTTTTACTTCTCTTTTAAAAGTGACCTTATCGCTATATAAAAATGTCCAGGACAAGGCATACCTGTGTAAGATGTAAATACTCACCTTTACCTGCTGTATTGCTCTTCAATCCTGACAAAAGATCGCCCAAGGTCTGCTGGGAAACTCAGGTGTCATCCTCCTGTGCCTTCCTGCTGACTGTGACATCACTGCTGTATCCTGTGATGTGATAACTGGGGGGGGAAGAACCAGCAGATTGAAGTGTGGGTTTCCCAGTGAACGTCAGTGGTTTATTTATCAGGACCGGAATCCAGCACCTTACATGGCAGGAAAGAGAAGTGTTTACATGAACCTTTTACATGTATGCCTTTTCTGAGAAATTTTTATATAGTAACAAGGTTGCTTTAAAGCCGTGCTTCGCAATTGGTGGGTCGTAACTCCGTGTTTAGTGGGTTGCTGCATGCCTTCCACAGCGCTAGGTGAGAGACTCCTCAGCCTCCCACTAGTGCAGCACTCTCAGTTCTCACGCCGAGTAGCCATTCAAAATATGCTGCCCGGCGCCGAGAGTCAGCTTAAGGTGGGGTGGGTTGGAGGTATAGCCGCAAGGGAGCTCCATCCATGAGCATTGCTTACAGCTTCCTCATGTGCCCTGCAGAGGTGTTCAGGACCGACGTCACATTCTGGCTCCCATCACCTCTACGGGGCGTGCAAGGGAGCTGTACAAGCACATGTACATGTACATATAAATGAAGCTGTGTAACATCACAGAAGCCCACATTGGATCCCAGGCTGAGGATCCACTCCGATTCTCATAAAGCAAGAAAACTGGGTGGATCCTAAAAAGAAAGAAAAAATAAATAATTTTTTTTTGGCGTGTGTGAGAATGTCTGCTAGTGTGTGAGGCTGTGTCTGTGTGTGTCCCTAGTACAGTGCATTAAAACGCGCATTAAACTGTAGCACACAATCGCACCTACCGCGTGTTCCTGTGCAGGGGGTGTATTGCGTTTCCATTCATTTCAATGGCACCCCAAACACAACCCTTGCCCACACCGGAAAGCACGGTAATACAATGTTGTGCATTCCAGTGGGTTGCGACTTAAAGGAGAACTATGGGGTCAGTGTTTTTCCCTAGTTCTCCTTAGGGTGACGGGAGGACACAAACTAGCGTCCTCCCGTTACCCTAAGCTCAGTATAACGCGAGCTACAGCTCGCGGTATACTGAGATGCCGCAGCCGGAGCGGATCCCGACGTAGATGATGGGATCCGCCCAGCTGCGTGATTGACAGCTGGCTCTGCCTATCTAGAAGCAGAGCCAGCTGTAGCCGCCCCCTCCCCCGTCCGTTCCGCCAGTCAGTGCTGACAGATCGGAGCGGGGAGAGGGGAATCCAGCCCCTCCCCCTGTCACAGAAGAGAGCCCTGACAGGATCGAGAGGCGAGCGAACTCGGTATGTGTTCGCTCACTTCCGATCTACTGAGCCGACCTGTGACAGTCTCATTGTGAGCACTCACCTCATAGTTCTCCTTTAAGGACAAATGTGGGTCCTGAGGTTACACAGGTTAAGAAATAACTGCTTTCAAGTAAACCGGTCAGCCCTATTGGCAAAAGTAAACCTGTTATCACCATTATCTAAAAAAAACTAAAAGTAGAAGCATAAAGCAGGCCTATAGATACCAGCTGAAGAGCAACCCACGGGCCCGAAAACTTGTGTGCTTTAATTATACAAATACCAAATTCGACAGTGAAAAGATAAACTGGCTATTGATCCTTCAGAGTGACTGACAGCAGCAAGGGATGGATCGGTGGGAGCTGCCACTTGCAGAATTAAGAATACGCTGTTACCTGACATGGAACAGGTATACAGTCAAAGAAGTATCAGTAACCCCTGACCTGCATACTTGCTTTGGGTCAGTGTCTCCATAATAGGTATACTAATAGACAAGATAAGAAGGACAGACCTGGAATGTGCACAACAAGTCAGCAAAGGCAGATGCCATAATTGTAAATCTGCCCAAAAGGAACTAAGAAATCAATAAAAACCTGACCAGGGTTCTAACCACTCCCATCAGAATGTTTTGTTTTGCAGTCTCTGTACAACAGATACATTTTTTTTGTATTGCACAGTAACAATTAGGGATGCACAGATACTTTTCGAGTACCAGTGCAGATACTTGGAATTTTCATGAGAACTACCAGGGTTGCAGTGGTTGCAGCTGGGACCTGGCTCTGGCGCTCCACCACTGTCCTGAAATCATTACTCTGTATTGTTTTAGAAAAAACTGTCACATGACAATAAACAAAAATGTATCAGTACTCGTACTTGTAAGTACTCGGCAAGTACCAGTACTCGTACTCGCAAAACTGGTATCTGTGCATCACTTTATTTATATTTATAAAAACAAAATCGTACATTAAAACAGAGATGTAACAAATCCCAGGAGCTCCGTGTGCTCCTTACAAATGACAGCCGCCTCCTAATTGTTGAATTTTTCTCTAGTGTAGTCTTGTAGCTCAAAAGTATCTGTACTTGTACCGAGTACTGTACTTGGTATCTGTGCAACCCTAGTAACAATGTCATTCATTTGGCACAAATTAATGCAGCTGTTTTCATTAATAAACAACTAAAGGAGTTATCTTAATGCAAGCAGTAAAAGTACCTGAATTTGATTTGCTAACCGCCTCTCACAGTTCCTGTACAGCAGAACTGGGAGAAGCAGCACAAAGAGCCAGCTGTGCAAGAAGCATACTGATAGAAGAGAGGAGAGTGATAGAGAGATGAGCTCATCAGTATGCTGGGGTGTTCTGTTCAATCACAGGGTCGGGGAGGGGCAAGACCTGTATGCGTTACTGAACTGCAACTGACAAAAATCAAGTCACCTGCCAGATAGGGCTGAGTGGCAGAGATCTCAGGACTGGATGGACAGAAATAGAAATCCTTTGCCAGGTAAAACAACCCCATATATGTGTTTTAACTGTGTATTTAGTGGTTTGCCTGGAGTTCAGCTTCAGGGGTAATTACTCGCCACCAGTCGCCCCACCTGACCCCTACCGTGCCCCGCCCTCAATACTCATATGAGCAATACTGGTATTGCTTCTGACCTGAAGAAGAGAGGTTCACTCTCGAAAGCTTGTGTTTAATATAGTTTGTTAGTCCAATAAGATATATATATATAATGATTTGTTCCTGATGCTGTCCTTTAATTTGACTTTGTTCTGCACACACGGCCTGACTAAACAGTATTTGAAATGGGAACGACAGACTTAAGTAACAAAAAACAGCTATTAGGACCGGGGAACAGTGAAAAGCTGGTTTTAATTTTCTATAGTTAATAAATCACTGCCTCTTTAATGATAATGCTGCTGCTCGCCTCAGTAGGACCAAGACGGGAATATATACTTGCCTGAGACCGCTGATCTAGATGTATTGCCTACGGCTGCACACAGCTCATCCCAGCATCCTCCGTCCTATGGTACATACTGAACTTCCTCTGGTAATTACAAGGCCGCAATATAAGCGGTTCACAAGGAGATGGAAAAAAAGTTATTTCATCACTTGTTGTCGCGGTCACTGAACACCACCTGACCTAACTATCCACAGGGAGAGATTTACTAAGTCACTCCACGGAAAATAAGAGCATTCTGAAAACTGCATAACAGACAAGTACTGTACAGTCACTGTTTTACATTATGCACATCAGGGGTGTATATGTACATAATGTAAATGCATAATTTTCAATCTGCCCGAGAAAACAATAATCCAATAAAAATCACATAAAAAAACAAGAAGAAATGAGGGGGTTCGAAAGGCATGATTCGCAAAAACAATTAATAATAAATGTGCATATATTAAGGGGAATGTTGTATATTAAAGCTGAACTCCAGGCAAACAGATTAACACACAGATGAACTGCATATGAGACCTCCCGCAGTTAAAGCCCCTTTTACTAAAAATCACATCAGCGTGCAGCTCTGCACGCCCATATGACATTAACGAATGGCCGCCTGTGATCCAAAACTCTGCACATAGCGGGCTATATGCTGCAGCCGGGAAGGATCCCAGCAATATTGTCAGGATCCACACCACTTCTTGATTGACAACTGCCTATGCAAGCTGTGCCCACCCCCTCCACTGTCTATACCTCCAGTCAGAGCTGGAGGAACTAAGAGGGGAGCGGGGGAACTGAGCGATCAGAGGTTTGTGTACTCAATCTATAGAGCTGACGTGTGACAGCTTCAATGTCACACGTCGGCTCTAACTATTGGGATGAGTGTATTTCACTCATGCCATATTTCTCATATATCCTTTAAACTACCATATTAATTTCAAATCAAAGTACATACCCACTAAACATGACTCTGAACAATTGCTTGAAGAACTGAACATTTTGATGAGAGATAAAGTCTCTTCGATCAATCCCACATCTCTGTTATAAACACAAAAAAGACAAAGCTTTTACAACCTGAATAAAACATCAAGAGCGTATGCTAGTGACACCATCTCCATAGAGTATAAAAGAGATTCCACCTGCACAAAAAAAAATAAAAAAATAGCTGACCTTGACCTTGTAGAAGACAGACAATTAATTGCAGAGAGATCTCACTGCTGGAGTCTCACAGATATATAGAAATCTGGTTGGTGATTTAACACACCCACCCGAAAATGAAAATCAGTGTCCTTATCATATGCATTATATGTACCTTGTGGAGCACTTTTTTTAAACAAACGCTCGGAGGCTTCAGAAGGTGCCTGTACTGTGTGAAAAAAGTGGAGCGATACATAATGGAGAACCATCCAGGTGATAAAAGTGGTCAAAGTAAAAGCACCTTGTGGAGTGTGCAAGCTCTTCTGCCTTCAGATACTGAGTGAACTATGGAGGCTTCCACTGCCAAGACAAGATGAGGAGTTAGCCACAAAGAGGAGGAAATATTTGAGTACTTCCATGTGTTCCTTGCTGTCAGCCATTGCTGGAACCCCACTAACAGGAAGGCTAAATGTAAACTGACTGACTTAGGCCCATTCACTCCTCCTTGCATTGGATTAATGCGTGCAACGCCAGACATATTATCATGCGGCGATTTAAATTTAAAAAAACAAACATTTTTAACCAAAGCGAACTGCAACATTGCAGCGCATAGTAACGCAGGTCTATTCTGTAAATACTTTGGGGTGCCATTCGAAATAAAAATGTGATGGTATGAACAGGCCCACTCAAGCAATGCTCTTGATTTCGAGCACCACTAGGTCATTTCTGATCTAGAAGGCCCTTTCCAGGCCAATCCTTCCCTCTTGCAATATAATAGATGCACAATGATCACCGCTGGGTGAATAAAAGGATGGGTTCTTGTGCTCAGTACTCTTGTGCTTGCTCAAGCTGATGTTTACTGACCCTTAGTTTCTCTCCACGTGCAGTGGATGGTTGTCACTGAAACTGCATTACATCTACATTATGAGGCCACTATACGTGTAAACAGTGTTTGGTGGTGTACTTCTTCAGCCCCACCTCGAAGCAGAACGTTTCCTGGATATACGCAGCACAAGGACCTCCAATCTCTGCAGTGACATCTGCTGTGCAGCTCCAGCAGCTTTGTGGTAACATTATGCAAGCTTTCTGGACATAATTAAAGGGAGAGACTTCAGCCCCACACAGTGAAACCGCACGAACATACAAGTATTTGGCACAGGGCTCCCTATGCCAAGGTCCTGGCAGCAGAGATTGTGCTTACTCAGGACTTTCCTTTAACCTGTAAAGCAACCGGAAGGCTACGCAGCTTAAAGGGCAACCCTGGGCAATAAATAAAATCAAAAAAAAAAGTCATGACTTTAAATCTTCAGAATTCTACTGATGACTAGATTGTAAAAATATACAAGCAAAAAAAGTGATCTAGTGGGGAACCCTACACTTCCACTGCCTCTTAAAAAAAAAAAAAAAATGACCAAATGCCATTCTTTCTGCTCATTATTCCAAACCTGACAACCAAGATTGCAGCGGTGTAGCTGGAGGATGCATCTGACCGCTGCACACAAGAGGTTTTTTTCTGCAGCCAAATGCCAGGAACAGGTTTTTGTAATATACGCTGGAGCCGAATTAAAAACTTTACACAAGTAAAACATTCAAAATTTTGTTAAACTCGTACTGTATTTACATCCTTTTTTTTAAGCAAACGTCAAATGGATTGCAATGGAAAGTGTACGGCTGTGTACCCCTAGTTGGTGTGAAGAAAACCAAGCAGGCTCAATACAAGTTACCTGGAAGTAGCAGAGTACTCAGCCCTGATACAAGCAGTGGGCTGGCTCTTGGGAGGAGTTATGCAAATATCAAAATGCCTTTATGTGCGGGTTTCAGTCTGGAGGAGAGGGTGTTCCTAGGCAGGCTAGATTTGCATGCAAACCACCCTAGGTAACACATACAAGTGATGCTGAGCCTCCATTATTGGAAGGACTGGAATCCAATAAATAAAAGGGGCAGGCCAAGGACAGTAAGGCTTGGGAGGAAAAAGCTAGATGATGCTGAACATCCTTCAGCCAGGAAATTAAGCAGCCTTGATCTGACTTGCTGCAACTGTTAATGCGCACTGTGAGAAACCAGAGTAAAGCTGGGTACACATGGAGCAAATTTCGTCCGAGCCTGTACAACTGTGCAAGACTGAAGGGAAGGCTTAAGTTGTGCTTTAGACGAAAGCCCCCTTTTGCCATCTCTATCCCATTGAAGAGATTCCCATCACTTCCTGTTCTGTAGACTCAACAGGAAGTGAGAGGAAAACTCTTAAAAGCAGGGAAAAATCTCCACTTTGACACGGGAACAAGTGCACTCATTGCAGTATTTCCCTCGACCTCCTGTTCTGTAAAATTTTAGATTTCCCATCACTTCTGTCTCTAAGACAAAAGGTCATCAGGACAAATAGAGAGGGAAAATCTTCCCCAAGGGAACACAGACAACAGCAATAAAATCTGACAGGGATGCACCGGTACTAGTCTCTCTCTAACCGGGCCGATACCAAGTATTTGGGCGAGTACTCATACTCGCCCAAATGCTCTGATGCCTAGCCCGATACTTGAGCTTCCGGTATCAGAAAGCCGGCTTCCTGGCCAATCAGGAAGCTGAGCAGCGTGTAATTACACACCCCCTGGCTTTCTGATTGGCCAGAAAGCCGGCTCCATGCTTTCCCATCACCTGGTGACGAGGGGGCATGGAGACGGATTCCCTGCTAATCGGGAAGCCGGGCGGCGAGTCATTACACGCCACCTGGCTTTCTTAATGGGACTTCCGGTATCTGTAAACGGTATCGGCGAGTACCGAGAATACAATATTGGTACTCGTACTTGATACCGAAAAACCGTAATTGGTGCATGAGTTTTATTAAAATAAACTTACAAACAAATATTATTCTCCAGTATAAGCTGATCATCTTACACAGAGCTAATGACTTCCTTCTATTAAATACATATCATTTTTTTTTTTAAACCACAAGAGATAAAGGTAGAGTGGAAGGATGATATACATTTCATAGGCCGTAGTGCCGTGGGGTAAGTAAGTAATCATTTGTGCTGCTATGAAGCATCACGGCACTGAATACAAGAACCACTCTTACCTGATGGTATTCTGATTTCGGGCACATTGCACACAGGCGTTCCTTAGACAGCGGAAGCATTCAGCAGACAGATCAAGCCAATGCTCTAGAGACGGGTCCAACTCTGCACCTTTGTTTAGGACTTCATGTGATGCTCTGGAGAGAATCTTTAAAAGCACCGAGAAGGTCTTCTCATCAGCTATGTCTCTGGAAGGAAATAAAAAGTGTACGATCATAGATGTAAATAAAGCTAAATAAGTTTAATCTGCTTATATTTTACCTTCCTTGGTTCTTCCCTCCCCCTCATCAACATGCAAATTAACTTTTAAAATAAAACCTGTCATTACATACATTATTTTAGGCCCAGCACTGTCATCACACTCAACAGAAGGTTAGAGGCAAACTCTTTACAGTGGACCTTTACCCCCTTTCACTATAATCACACCAGCATGCAGCTCTGTATGCTGATATGAAATCATCTTACTTTCCATTAAACAAACATATTTTTATTTTACTTAGAATTACTGTTTTTCCACCTCTTGGACCTTTTGGGCATTAGTGATGTCATGTGCCCAAGCATTGCATCCTGGGAAGGTTACATCAGCAGAGCATTGCTGAGACAGCTCATCTGTAATCTCATGAGATTTCAGGGAAAGGCATTTTCCTCCCCTGAGATGATATGCATGGTCACATGTCCTAATTCACATGTGCCAGAGTTCCAGGAAGTAAAGGGAGATCTAGTAACCTGCCCTTAATTATCATGGCCACTGTGAGAGGAAAAGAAAAATAAGGTATGTAAAGAATACAAATGATCTAGAAGCATCTGTATGAAGATTGCCATTACTAAACATTTCTAAAAGGTGTCTTTGTTATCATTTCAAATATATGGGTAAAGTTCTTCTTAAAAGCAAGGAAAAAAAATCTCCACTCAAGACAGTTGTCACTGGAACAAGTGTCCGCATTTAAAGATTTCCCCAACCTCCTGTTCTGTGGCAACTTTAAAATATTAGATTTACCATCACTTTCTGTTTCTTTGGGAGATTTCCTCTAACTCCCCATCTTATTTCTGGGACAGGAAGTGAATGGAAAATTTCCCCAATGGTACACAAACAGAAAAACAAGTATATACGGGCAGGAATTTAACTGCAGAAAAAAAAGGTTTGGGTGTACATTTGCATTTCCCGGATCGATTTTGATATGGGGACACCTCAAAAAGTTTGGTGTTTCCCCTCACTTTTTATCTCGTTGACAACAGTCATCAGGACAGTGGTGTAGTGGTGAATCTCCCCAGAGAGGACATACAACTATAAAAACTAGATAGAGGGTCTAACCCTTCCCCACTCTATCCAAAACAAAAAAAGGTTTTGCATAGAGATACACTTTGACGCAAACCTTACGGTGAAATGCATAGTTCGCTTATTAGAACCAAACCCCCTGCCCGGAGAACAGCTTTAAGGCCAGATGTTGATTCACCTACCAGTATGTTATTAGCCCTTGGGAGGTAGCCACAGCACCCAGAGGAAAGCCACGCAAACATTGGGAGTTCATACAAATAATGTCCCTCAAGGCAACCGAACACAGAACCCCAGCACTGCAAAGCCCCCTTCATAACCACTCAAGCAAATGCTGCTTTTAATATATAATCAGCTGATGGATCCACTTTAAAAGCCATTCCTTGTGTCGGCAGACACTGTAATGCTGAAACTATGCAACGTTGGGCAGTCAAGCTACAAAACAACCACATGGTCATCTAGACAGAGATTGTATATGGCTAACGGAGATGAAGAAAGCACATGGTACTGCTTAATTCCTATTTACAGAACGGCTGCTGTAAAAATACATTCCCAAGTACATTCAGAAATCGGAAAAGTAAGGTCATGGCGTTTTTTGTTTTCCCCCACCTGAGCCACGAGCCCAAAAACCCCCACTTTGGAAGCACTTTTGTTGCTCTCTGCGCCGAAACACTCCGTTGAAAGCATTAGTGGTTTGCCACTGCCCAGCACGCAGCACTCAATTATTTCAAATTAGTAAAGCAGGAGAGGGAAACTTTGCCCAATGAAAAGTATATAAAAATAAGCAGAAGCTACTAGGCAGTAAAGGCTAATTGCTTCCCAAGTGATGCCAAGAATACTGACAGATCAAAGTTTGCTTTAGAATGTTTTATAAAAAGCTCCCTGCTAAAACAGCATGGACCCACCAAACTGGTGACCCGGCACCACATTCGTGTATTTTGTTATTTTTCTTAATAGGGCAACATGCTGCTTAGTGGTTAATGCGCTAGCCTTACTGTACTGGGGATCTGGGTTTAAACCCCACTGGGGACATGCCTCCATGGAGATCTTTCTTCCTGGGCTTGAATGGATTTACTCCCGCAAAAAGGAAAAGCTGTCATGACAGTAACATAGCTTGTATGGAGCAAAAGGATGAGCGCGTCAAGGTGTACGAATTGGTCCAGATATGAATTTTTATTTGTCACAATAAAAATTAATCTATCAATCTTTGACAGCCAACATATTTCTGGATTATGAACAAATTTCCCTTCATCAGGGATACAATAAAAACAAAAATAGGTTTTATACAACAGCTATATTATTTACACAAATGTATCATTTAATATATGTTATGAAAATCTTTGTAGAATGCATAAAGGACAAGGCATTGCTGCCATTAGAAAAAAAAAAATATATATATATTTTTAATACATCATTTCTGTTAGAAAGATATACACCGATCAGCCATAACATTGTGACCACCCACCTAATATTGAGTAGGTCCCCCTTTCGCCGTGACCCCTCAAGGCATGTACTCCACTACACCTCTAAAAGGTATGCTATGGTATTTAAATCCTGGAAGTTGCAAGGTGGGGCCACCATGGATTGGACTTGTTTTTACAGCACATCCAACAGATGCTCGATTGGATTGAGATCTGGAGATTTTGGAGGGCAAGTCAACACTTCAAACTCATTGTGTTCCTCAAACCATTCTTGAACCATTTTTGCAGTGTGCCACTGCCATCACGGAATACCTATTCCATGAAGGGGTGTAGCTGATCAGCAACATTGTTTATGTAGGTGGTTTGTGTCAAAGTAATATCCACATGAATGGCAGAACCCAAGGTGTCCCAGCAGAACATTCCCCAAAGCATCACACTGCCTCCGCCAGATAGCCTTCTTCCCATAGTGCATTCAGGTGCCATCTCTTCCCCAGGTAAGCAACACACACACATGATTTATCAGACTAGGCCAATATCTTCTATGGTCCAGTCCTGATGCTCACTTTTGGCGGTGGCCACGGGTCAGCGTGGGCACCTTACTGTTCTGCAGCAACACAGCCCCATACACAACATAGGTGTTCAGACATTTCTAACAGCATTAGTTTTTTCAGCAATTTGAGCAACATTAGCTCTTCTGTTGGATCAGGCTACACAGGCCGACTTCGCTCCCCATATGCATCCATGAGCATTGTCCTGCCCATGACCCTGCCACCGGCTCACCAGTTTACTGTTTGTTTTTTCTTTCTTGGACAACTTTTGGTAGGTCCTGACCACTGCAGACCAGGAACATCCAACAAGAGCTGCAGTTTTTGGAGTTGCTCTGACCAGCCATCACAATGTTGCTCAATTCCTTACACTTGAGCATTTTTTCTGCTTCCAACACATCAACTTCAGAGGCAAAGTTAAAATGTGCTGCCTAAAATATCTCAACCACTTCCAGGTGCCTGGGGGCTTCTTAGCCCCCCTTGTAATAGCTATAAAGTTGTATGTAAAAAAAAAAAAGTAATACAAAAATGAAAGATTCATAAAAAAAAGAAAGAAGCATAACATGAATTTTTTGTAAAAAATTTTTTAAGTCCACGCCCCCCTAATACACACGTCAGGTGCGCCTACGTGCCGCACATGTTGCATATCGCCGCAAACTGAGTGAGAGCAATAATTTTAGAGCCATTAAGGCCGGGTTCACACCTGGGCGTTTTACAGCGCTGATCAACGCGCTGTAAAACGCCCTGCAAGTGAAATCTTATTATTTCCTATGGGCATGGTTCTCACTTGGGCCTATTTCAGCGTGTCGGAGCGTGCTGAAAAACGCCCTATGCCCAAAGAAGTACAGGAGCTTCTTTGGGGCGTATTTCCGCACGTATCCATTAGGATACAGCCGGATAGCCCTCGTGAACGCGCGTTTGAAACAAAATGCGCGTCATACACGCATATTTCGAACGCCTAGGTGGGAACCCAGCCGAAAAGGAGAACTATGAGGCTGCTTTTGGGGGGGGGGGGATTCTATTGGTACGCAATGGTAATTCCTTATCTCCATCCCCGCCTTTGTCATTTAACTGCAAAAAAAATAAATACAATCTTCCTGGGTTATATAGGTTTTTTTTAAATGACAAACACAAAGAAGGACGACCACAGATCATTCCGTGAACAGCAGTTCTAGCAGGAAATCACTGTGGGTCAGCTTATCTCTAATTATACTATGAATAGGAGCGCAGTGATTAACTGGACTGTCATCTCTACATACGTCAACCATTGGGAGATTTGAGTAAACACTGTAAACCTGAGAGGCACAGCTGGTCCAAGAATTGGGAAGTCTGATGATCTCACCGCACTCATGTAAAGTCAGTATTTGGGGGGAAAAATACCACGATTACCAAAAAAAGTAAAACGTCTCTAAAGTACTAACAAGATATAAAAAAAATATAAAGCGTGATGAATTTCCTTTGCATTCACCTATAACTGAAATATTACATTGAGTGGACTGGCCCTTACAGTGGGGCAAAAAAGTATTTAGTCAGCCCCCAATGGTGCAAGTTCTCCCACTTAAAAAGATGAGAGAGGCCTGTAATTGGCATCATAGGTAGACCTCAACTATGAGAGACAAAATGAGAAAACAAATCCAGATGAAGATCAGGTAGCCATTGCAGCTCTTTAACTTCAAGACCAGGTGTTTAGACCCTCTTCCTGTCCAGGCCATTTTTCAGTATTTAGCGCTGCTGTACTTTGACGTTTATTCCGTCATGCAACGCTGTACTGAAAATAATTGTATACCATTTTTTGGGGACAGATAGAGCTTTCTTTTGGTGGTGTTTAATCACCACTGGGGTTTTTATTTTTTTACTATATTAAGGAAAAATTATTGAAAATTTTGGGGAAAAAAAGTTTTCCCCCCATTATATTAGGAAACAATGTTTATTACCCATATTTTTGGTAAAATATAAAAGTCAGGGTCACGTCGGGTAAATAGACACCAGACATGTCATGCTTTAAAATTGCGTGCACCCGCAAAGTCGCAAAAACGACCATACCCAAAATTGACCATAGGCGACGCTTTAAAAGCTTTTACAGCTCATCAGTTTAGTGTTATCGGTGATTGATCCCAACGCAGTGGTGTGTGCTGAAAAAAAGGCATGCCTTACCTTTTCTAAGGCAGCGGGATACGATGCAGTACAACAGCCTCACATCCCGCTGTGCCAGTAGAACTAAATAAAGTTCTAAAAAATTAATAAAAGTGCGATGCACTGGGATCAGCACTTCGGCACTGGGCCGGAGCACCGCACACCAGAAGCTGTGCGATTAGCAAAGCGTCTGGTATGAATGAGCCCTTACAGATCCTGAGAAAGTGTCTGGGAAGGAATGACGCGGCTGTGTGGGTGGAGTCACACACAGGTACACAAACTTTTATAATTGACAAGAGCCTGTGGGAAGAAGAACCCTGACATTCAGGTAATTGGGTGCACTTTGAGGGTAGGGGTGGCTGGGAATGTTTCACATTACAACCCAAATATGGATGAAACCTGGTCTAAAAAGTGGAGGTAGCTTTTAAAGCTTATACAGGCAGTACCCGGGTTACATACAAGATAGGGACTGTAGGTTTGTACTTAGGTTGGATTTGTATGCAAGTCGGAACAGGTACATTTAAGTGTAACTCCGGTCATAAAAAAAAAAAAAACATTCTTTAGTTTTGAATAGCATAGGAAAGGGTCACATTTGTTTTGCTGTCTGTTCCCCTTGTTCAGAAGATTATAATATAATTTTTTTTAAACTTATTTAAAATGACACACCCAAAAAAGTTTTTTTCTATTTTTAATTTTAGAAACTTTATTTTTTTCATTTGTTTGCATTTTGAATTTTTATTTATTTAAATTTTTTAACTTTTTTTTTTCTTGTCTTTTTAATTTTAGTTTACCATTATTTATTTCTTTATTTATTTTATTTTTACTTTATTGCTGGGAGCAAAAGCAAGTCTTAGAAACCGGCCGGCCCGGGGGAAGAGGAGGAAGGGGAAGAGGAGAAGCCGGCCAGCCCGGAGGAAGAGGAGGAAGGGGAAGAGGAGGAGCCGGCCCGGGGGAAGAGGAGGTCGGCACATCGGATATCGGATACCCGCACAGCCGACGGCACCGGTACATACAGCTATCACTCAGTGTCACCGACTTTACTGCAGTTCATTGTACATTTCATTCATAAATTTTTTTACAATGAACTGCAGTAAAGTCTGTGACACTGACTGACAGCTGTATGTAGTTGTGTCCCTACACTGCGGGGGTGCGGGACACCTATTGCGGTGAAAACTGTTTAAGAAGGAAATTCCCCTCACTTTGTAGAGATTTCCTCTCACTTCCTTTTATAGCTCCAGGACAGGACGTGAAGGGAAATCTTCAAAACAAGACACAGACAGCAAAATAAATTGACAGGTTTTAAAGAAGAACCCCAGTTTAAAATGTTATTAACCCTTGCAGTGGGGTTACCCCCACATTGCGAGGGTTGAGTGCTCATTTGTGTCTAGGTGCAAAAATAAAAAAAGTTATACTCGCCAAACCATCCGAGGCGGCTTGTTCTTAAACCAGTGTCTCGAGCGTGTCTCCCCCTCTGCTGCAGTGGTCTAAGGATCCTGGTGTCATCACACTCTACACGCTGTGCATAGACTGTGTATAGACATGAGGATGCCAGGAGCATTCCACCTCCAGCGGAGGAGTAGACACGCTTCAGTGATCACAAAAGCAGGCTCGGATGGTCTGGCGAGTATAACTTTTCTTTTTAATACCTAGCAATAAAAAAAACAGTTAACCATTGCATTGCGTGGGTAGCCCCACTGCAAAGGTTATTAACATTTTTAACTGAAGTTCTTCTTTAACCCTTCCCTACTGGGCAGCATAGTGGTAAGCACTTCTGCCTTGCAGCTGTACTGGAGGTCCCTGGTTCACATCCTGGCCAGGTCACTATCTGCAAAGAATGTGCATTTTCTCCCTATGCTTGCATGGGTTTCCTCCAGGTACTCCGGTTTCTCCCACACTACAAAGACATGCTGCAAGGTTAATTGGCTCCTGTCTAAATTGGCCCTGTATGCATGGGAGATAGGGACCTTAGATTGATTGTAAGCTCCTTGTGGGCAGGGACTGATGTGAATATGCACTGTGTAAAACTGCAGTTGCTATATAAATACCAAGAATAATAATAAAATAATATGGAATTCAAAAAATGTTTTGGCTATACACACACTTTGACTAATTATATATATGATCAAGACTTTATTACATAGCCCTGCAGCACCACAGTATAAGCAGTAAAGAGTAGGCATCATCCATACCCCTTTACCCACAAATGTAGGTCACAGCTAGCTTGCCATCTTCATACTGCTGCAGGTTATTTAACCTCAAGGACAGGGGTGGGCCACTCAGCTCTCCAGCTGTGCTTCAAACAACGAATCCCAGCATGCCTCTCCCTCTAGGAATCATGGCTGTGTCAGTCTTGCATAACCCAATGGGACTTGTAGTTCCACAAGAGCTGAAGGACTGGAGCTTCCCACCCCTGCTCTAGGACATTTGTCAGCCTAGATTATACTTTAAAATACGCAACACAATAAAGTATAAGGCAAAAAGCAAACAGTACATTTGTGGTGATAAAACAAGAATTTTATGTTAAAAAGCATAAAAAAAAAAAAAAGGAAAACCGGAAAAAAAAAAAAAGCAACAACATGACAAAAAGAGGGACTGTTGGAAGCTACAAACTTGTAACCAAACAGCCTGCAATTGAAGCAAAACTACTGACAGCTGTCAAGACTTCTAAAGATTTGTTTGCCTTGCAAATGTCCCTAGATTTATGTATCCACTTTTGGGTCGCGACCCACGAGTTGAGAACCACTGGTTTAGAGTATGTTGGGTTAAATTTTCATAAGTCAATATGATCTGAATTGTTGCATTAGCACACACAAGCTACAATAAACCTTTGGTGCCAAAAAGGCTAAAAAGGACTCCCTAACAGGAGACACCATGTTTGCCAGGAAGTACCCAATCATCTCCTGCGTGCCCAAGAAGCCACCCCAACCCACAATCAGATTTCAACAATACTCAACTTTGGTCTCTGGCATCCCCCAACCCCTCCTCCATTATCCCATACCCAGAGCGGGAACATAAGAGACCAAAAGTGGGGCATCACATTGGGTTGTTGGATAGGAGGGCTTTGCGCCGAAGTTTGGAGATGTGGGACAGTGACACAGGAACACAGGATCAATTTAAAGTAAACCTTTCAGTATGCTGAAGGCTCTGAACTGGCAGCTGAATGTCAATGCAGGCATCTGGTGGTGACTGATCATACCTTTACAGGTCTTCTTCTGCAACCTAGTGGTCTGGAATCCTAAAAACTGCCCCATACTTTCTTATGGGCACATTGTTATGATGGGAAGCCTCACCAAACTGCTAGGTGGGGTCATAATGGATGGGCTCGGGCGTGTTTGCAGCTCCTCGTGCCGAGCCCGCCAGGAAGCTGACAGCGCCAATCACTGGTACTGAGACATTTTCCCGGTCCGCAGGTGCAGAGATCGGGAAATGTCTCAGTACCTGTGATTGGCGCTGCGCGCTGTCAGCTTCCTGGCGGGCTTGGCACGTGGAGCTGCAAACACGCCCGAGCCCATCCTTAGTTGTCATCGCTATCAAGAAGTCTCTAATTTGCATATTACAGTACCCTAAGATTTGGATTCATGAAGTGGACATCTGTCTATGGAGTCCTATGCTGTACTGCTGCACACAGTTCAGTGCCTTAGGGCAAAGCAGCAGGTTTGCTTTAACACCAAACCTGTGTTTCCTGATTGCTTCGTTCAGGCCATGGTAGCTCAGAAATTAACCAATCATTTTGGCTTTAGAGGAGCATGCGACTGTGCCTGTGACCAACCCAATGCTGTCACATGAGGAGTGTTCTCAGCCCTGTGTAAGCTCCAAATGGAGTGACTGTGAGCTTGCACTAGGCTTCATCTTCTCACTACCAGCAGCTAAACTGAGATAAGAAAGAAACACAGAAAAGGAAATTAAGATTTAGTTGAAGTTAAAACTGAAAAACAAACATGAAATATATAGCATCCTACTAGTCCTTAGATTTGGTGGCTGCATTCATTTAATTTTTTTCAGGCTAAGGGCATTTCAGCAAGTACAGAAAATAACTGTTGATCTTGCGAGAAATGTAACATCCTCACCACTTCCTATGAGCTGAACTAAAAGCATAGGACAATGTTGTGGCTTCCTCTATAGATACAGTGGAGACATCAAGGGACAGAAAGTGTCTTATTCTCCATTGTATACATTAGATCACCTAAAGATGAAGAGTGGGGGAGATTGTCTGTAGTCCAAATCAACATTTGTGGCCTACAGTGACAACACTGCTTATATATAAATACAGTGCAGTAAGTGATGTCACCTTAGAACAGGAAGTGTGTTACTGACAGGATTACCAGGTGGAAAAAAAGAACACTAAAGCAGCCACTACATCTAGGGACTGGTAAACTGCAATATAGTACATTTTAGTTCTTGGGCATAGATACATTTTAAATAGAAACTAGGGGAGAGGGTTTAAAGTGAACCTGTTGCTTTGCTGTTTGTGGGCACAGCTCACCCCCCAGACCTACTATACCCTGCAGCCAGCTGGTGCTTTACTGAATTGGATAGACCTCATCTGGAAAGTCTCACCTGTACTCGGCCTCCCTGAAGAGCTCGGTGACCCGCCTCATCATGTCCACCCCCGGCTCTCCCCCGTTAATTTCCCATCCCTCCAAATCCCCGCACACGGTTGTCAGATGCTCCCTGGGCGCCGCCATCTTGCCCGTAAACACGCCCCCCTCTCGTCTCTATGACGACCGCGAGCCACACGGAGCAATTCAGCAAGCTATTGGAACGCGCAGCGAGGGGATATGATTGGGCAGCAACGAGCCCGGGTTTCCAGCGTTGTGATTGGAGGAAGTGCTTGCCTGTCAGACAGTGAGCATGTAACCGTGTTTATGTGGTGTGACAGCAGCTAGGTTGGTTGCACTTACAATGTGTTCCTTTGCAATGCACATAGGTGAGCTAGAGAGGGAATACTGGGGTGTTCTGTGTTTTGGCAGCCGCAGACTCAGTCCCTGCTAACCCATGAGAATTTTCAGTGGCTAATTTCTCTGGAAACGCAATAAGATAACATATTACAATATTTCACATTTACACTGTGCTAAAATGAGGACTAATCTGATCTGTGGGATATGTGATGGAATCAGACATGTGAATACCTTCTGTTGTGAAGCCTGAGATACACTGCACACGAAGCAGCATGGAGCGATGGTGCACGGACCTTTGCGTGCATTGTGTCATGTAATTTTCCCTCCGGCACGACAGATGAAAAATGTAATCTTCAGCCAATCGGCTCGCGTGTATAAACCCCTGCGTCAAGTTTATTTGCTTGTTACGCACGAGTCGATTGGCTGAAGATGCCGTCTATCATCTGGCGGCGCTCAGCTCACACACCGCATGCGCACCTCCGTGCCTCACAGCATTGCTTTGCTCCACATGGCTTCGCATGCAGTGTGTCATGGGCTTAAGAGGACTCCGCTGTGTTAAACACTGATTCGGTTTTGATTCCTGGAATCCCTTTTCACCATACCCTAAACGCCCCGTTTACACCTGTGAATGGGTCCGTTCGCATGAGTTTCATGAATTCCTCCATGATATGGATGACAGCCGCCATCGCCTGCAGCTGTTCGCAGGCCATTCACAGGATGAGATTACCTGCAGACTGTTTGCGTCCACAGGTAATCGCAGCATGGGTGATTACATGCGAAAGACCTGCGAACAGCTGCCAGCGGGGGCAGCTGTCATTGTATTATACAGCTCCTCCCACCCACAGCAGTCTCACAGAGGAATTCATGAGATCAGCCCCATTCATACTTGTAAAGCTTCGCCCTTATTATTCACATCCCCCAATATTACTTTTTGCCCCCAGTAACAGAATTGCATTTAAAAAAAATAAATAAATTAGTAATTAACATTATTATTTGCATTCTGGTCCTTCTGCATTTCTCACCTAGGCGAGAGTGATGTGGCCCACAACCTCCTGGGATACTCACATTGCACATTCCAGGAGGCCTTTTGGCAACCTAGAGAATATGTGCCATGGCGCGTCATCAGAGGGACAGCTGTATCTTCCTGGTTCTTGCAGTAATGATGGGGTGCATTTTCATCAGCACGAGGCTGGCTGCAAGAAACAGGAAGAGACAGCCAGTTCCAGATGACGCAGGAGAGGAAGATGGCAGCGCAGGATGTGGTGTCCCATGGGACAGAACATCGCTGGATTCACTGGGTTTGTATGTTTATTGTGGATACCTAAAGAAAAAAGGGAAGAGAGGATTTTCAAAAAATACACAGGGGGGTGAAGTTCCCTTTAAAGAGACCCTGTCACTAACTAAAAAAGTTTCAGGTAAAAGCACAGAAAAATCAAATACTTTTATTTCTCACTTGGGTTTTTTTCTTCTTTACATAAATAATTTTCTATTTACTTGCAATGTAACTTTGAACTTGCTAGAATATTTCACTACTCCAGAAAGTATCAATTCCCTAGCACAGTCTCCTCCCCTTGTATGTCCTCTTCTGGAAGTGTCTAATTACTCTCTGTGTTCTTCTTCACCTCACCTCCCTACATAACCTTTTTTGTGCAGCTAGGGAGGAGTAAAGGGGAAAACTATAGTGTCCCTCGAGTGATAGTTGTGAGTCTGAGGACATCATATCCTAGATGATGTTCCCCAGCAGTAGTCTCGGGCAGGGCCGGCCTTAGGCCTTTAGGCGCCCTGTGCGAGAAAGCTTTACATTGCCCCTCAGTGACCACACCCCTCAGTAACCACACCCCTCAGTAACCACACCCCTCCGTGGCCACACCCATTTGTCTAATATCCACACCATTCAAAGACTCCCATTTTGTTAAGCCCCAAAGAAACATATTAAAAAGTATGATAAAAATAAAACTTTTATTCAATGATATTAAACTTGTAGGCACAATATAAGTATTCGTATTAAATAAAACAACAGAAGGTAAACAAGTGGTAAACAATAAATGTCAAACTACAATAGAGTCTGTAAAAATAAAGTGTCAGGTTGTCATGCCGATCCCTTTTTTCAAGCAAGTGCATCTAGAAAAGTAAAAATAAAAAACACAACACAAAACCCGGACTGCATGTTACATTAATGAATTACTATTTGCTTGAATATACGAAAAATTTATTCAGGCACATAATAATTTTTTGAGAATGTGCGGCGGCCATGTTAGCCACCGGCGCGTTTTGTGAATATGTTCCACCATCTTGGAGGCGGGGAGCATTAGGTCACATGACGCCATGCATTCGTGGCGTCAGGTGACGTCACACGCCAATATAGGCGCCGCCATCTTGGTGTATACCTAGATATACACCAAGACAGCGGCGCCCAACATGTGCGATGTCATATGACATCATGCGCCCTGCCTCCAGAACACGCCAATGGCTGCATCCAAAATAGCATACAAATGTGTTTTGTTTGATGAAACAAATTTAAATGTTTTTATTTTTCATACATTTCATCTGAAATTTATTTTTAGTCTTTGCACATGTCTAATAATACGTGTGTGTGTGGGGGGGTAATTTGTAATTTTCACTTTTTTCAAATAATTTTTTTATTATTTCTTTATTTTCTTTTTTTTTTTGTACTGTTGGGGGGAGGCTTTGGTGAAATCTCTGGGGTCTAAAAAGACCCCTGACATTTCCCTTTTAAAATAGAAAAAGAAATTGAGGACACAGAAACCTCAATTCTTTTTCTGCAGCCTCAGCACTCAATGAATGGGAAGCAGAGGCTTCCCATTCATTCAGAAACTACTGACAGTAAAATATTTACTATCACCAGTTTATGAATGGGGAGAAGCCTCTGTACAGAGTGCTACTCCCCATTGAGAAACTCATGAATGAACAGGAAGTGATGTAAATGAAGAGCGGTGAAGAGTTGAGAAGTCGCAGGCTGTAGCGGCCCCGAGGACGAGCTGTGTCGGCCGCCGGGCGCCCTTGTTGCCATGACGCCCTGTGCGGCCGCAGAGCTCGAACAACCCAAAGGCCAGGCCTGGTCTCAAGGCTTTTGGATGTCTACACAAGGGAGGCTTTTATGGGTAAATACTAGGGATGCACCAATATATCGGCCGCCGAAACATATCGGCCGAAAATTGCACTTTTGGCTGAATGCCGAAAGTGCTATTTTCCTGCTGATACATCGGCACATCCCTGCTTTCTTTCCTTCCCGCTGGGTGCTGCTCTGTGTCCCAGCTGGGAGGAGAGAAAGTGTGACAGGCTGCCGAGTGCTGCGGGAGGAGAGCGCTGTGTGCGGCCAGTGTCTCTTCCCCCACACCACTCAGCCTCCTATCACAGTCCGGCAGAGCGGTGTGTGGGCAGAGACAGCCTGCGCTGTCACAGGAGGCTGAGCTTTCCTCCCTGCACCGCTCGCTCAGCCTCCTGTGACAGCCTGTCAGAAAGGAGAGCCAATGCAAACACTCAGCGATCAGTGATCGCTGAGTGTTTGTAGATAATTGAGGACATGATATGGTTAATATATCCTCAATTATGAATGAGTGGGAAGTGATCTACAACACTTTCTGTTCATTCATGATTGTGGATATAGTAAACACACAATGTTCTCATGTTATAAATGAACAGGAACACTCAGTATAGAGGATTCCTGTTCATTTATAACAGAGGCTGCAGAAAAAGAGATTGAGGACTTTGTTTCCTCAATGTCTTTTTCTATTTTAAAAGGGAAATATCAGGAGTCTGTTTAGACTCCTAATATTTCCCCGAAGCCCCTAAAAGTAAAGTAAAAAATAAGAATAATTAATAAAAAATGAATTAATAAATATAAAAAATTAAAAAGTTTATAAAAAATAAATAAAAGTAAAATATTTTTAAAATTACAATAAAAAACATTTTCGGTTTTGGCCTGACAATTTTTTTTATATCGGTTTTGTTTCGGTTTCAAAATTTCCATTTGGGTGCACCTCTAGTAAATACCATACATAAACTACATTAAATGCACATTTAATCTAATAGAAAGTTTTTTGTTGACATCAATGTTAAGGTGCCCATACACTGCTCGATTCTCGTATGAGAATCGCGGGAAATCCAACAATCGTACGAGAATCGAGCAGTGTGAATGAAGACGTGCGACCGTTTCTACTGTACGGTCGCACATCTTTTGTCTAAGGAGCACGCTAGAAAACCAGCCGAAAATCGTACGGTTTTCGGCTGGTTTGAACGGTGCTCGGGAGACAAATGCCGAACGTGCCGGTGTGCACACGCGCACACTGCCCGTTCAGCATTGCGGTCATCGGAAGCCCTCCCCTCAGGGGGGCGGGCTTGCGATGATCGAGAGTACGATCTGCCTGTCCAAGATGGGCAGATCGTACGTTTTTTAAATTACTTTACAACCATCGCAAGACTAAGGTCTTGCGATGGTTGTAAAGTGTATGGCCACCTTTAGTCTGGCGACAGTCTATACGGTCTCGTTAGGTCCCAAGCCCTACTCCATAGAAGCCATGATTTCCATACACTGCACTGATGATGGCTAAATAGCCTGAAACGGCTGTATGCAGTTTGGAATAAATGGTTTTGAATAGACTATTATTTTACTATACACCAGCAGTTTTGGATGCGAATTTGGCCATTGGGGCGTAAAGGAATGATCTGCATGGCTCCACCCACTGGGGAATGAGGAATAATCCTTTCATTGGATATGTGATGGAATGAGACATTTGCATTCCAACTGTTCTAAGGATGCACTGTGTAATTT